TTTCTTGTCCAGGCTCATCCTTCCGAGAAACTCGCATCTTAGTCTTGTGATAGCTCCTTATATGGGCATGATAGGTGACTAATGGGTGGGAACAAAGTATAAAAGTCTAAATATCTTGAAAATAGTTTAGTTGATCGAAACGGCTTCTCAACTTTAATGCAAGTTAATACTACACTATACCAGGTACGTCTTATATCAAAACTAGTGATATGAGTTTTAAAATGCTTTCATTTGTATATCACGACATTGAAAGGCGAAACTGACGGATTCTCGTCTCTTGGGTTATTAGTTTCGATACGTAGTGTTAAAACAAACTATTAGGCATAGAGGGAAGATTTTTGTTCCGATAATTTTGGTAGAATTGTTGTTTTTGGGCTTAAGGTGATTCCCGGATTTAGTATTCCATGGTATTTTCTCCTAGCCACCCTGCTCGTGCTCTCCGTTTTAGTTAAGAGTTAAGAGCAAAAGATTCTTAGAAATAATCAATCGTTTTTGTTTTCTCTTTGTTTAGGGAAGGTACGTTCTTTATTGGGGGGAGGGGGGAAGAGGGGAATACGGAGTAAACTTTTTAAAAAATGGTTGAAGCCCTCCCCATTTCATTCAGTAAGAAATTTATGACCTTCCTATTATAGAGTCAATAATGAAACCGCTTTCGTCAGAATAAAAAGGTTTGACCGGCTCCGTAAAAGCTCAAATTTTTACTGATGACCTTCCCATCTGAAGTCCCAGCCCTGCCTCCTCCTCCAATAAAAACCGTACCTTTCCTTATGAACGTTAGAATTCCTATATTTCCAACGTAGATAGAATATCCAAAACTTGGAAATCCAGTATGACATAGAACGATTCCTAGAAATGATCAACCCTCCCCCCCCCCCCGTCCCTTTCATTAACATAAACTTCTGGCTTCCTATATTTCGTGGAATATAAGAATCTTGGAAATCCAGTATGACAGCAAAATTTTTAATTCCTAGCGGATTCCTAGCCCCTAGCGGATTCCTAGAAATTATCAACGTTTTTCTTTTCTTTTGAGAACATTGAACTTCCTATATTGTATGAAATATTCGAAGCTCGGGAATGCACATTTACCAGAAAAATTATCCAAAGACTCTTTCAGCATAATAGCAAAAGATTCCTAGGAATCCAAGACTCCAAGAAAAAGGTAGCAAGCTCGAATATGCCGGTAAGGTGTTTCAGTTTTCACTAGAGTGGTTCCGCCGTATCTTCTTACTTGTCAAAATTTCAGCGCGACGGCAACATTTCGTCAGTTTGCTTATAGCTACGAAATTTTCCGATATAACGAACAGTCATTGGTTGAAAGATGACCGACCAAGTGACACCATAGCTAAATCTAAATGTATCCCGACAATGTCAAATCCTATGATCTACGTTCTTTTACTCTTTACCGTCTTCACTTAGATATTTCTAATTGATCTTCTTTTAAAACTAATCTTAAAACTCATTTATTTAAAATAGCTTTTTCTTTCTAATTTAATTTAGCGCTTAGTTCAGACTTGTATGAGCGCTTTACAAGCTTTTCTATTATTTCTATTATTATATCATCATCAGAACGTGAAAAAAGCTAGTGGCGTGATATTTTGCGCCAATCACAAACAACGAAGCGGAAGGAAGTATTTTGCTGGAATTTTCAGTATAGATCAATCTGGAAGCGGAAAAACAAAACCCAAAATAAAAACCCAGAGATTTTCCAGTGTTTCTACAGAGAAATACAGACTTTTAATTGAGAAAAAGAATTCGCACGAACAAAAAAGCGGCTAAAAATGCTGTTGTTACTCTCCTCGCTTTTTGTTAGGGGAAATACCGTATGTGAGTTGTATTCGTAAAATCATTTGTCAGCTTTCATGCATTTAGCTTGCTAAATTAAGTTCTTATTTCGTATTTCTTATACGCTTCGCGTATCCACGAGTTAAAAACTTATCGATCACCCCCCAAACCACCTCGAACATGAATAATCTTTCCGTCCATAAATCGTACTGGAATAAAGGCACCATTTTCTTCGCGTCGTTATTTCTTTCTTTGGTATTTTGAATGTAACGAACCGACAGCATGGTACGAATTTTACAACACTCACTCTGATTCGTCTATTGGTTACCAAGGTGTAGATGTCTTATCGTTGAGACCACAATCAAATCAATCCAACTATGGAAAGTTTCAAAAAAAGCCAATCAAAAAAATTTAGTATATAAAAACAGGATAGAAACACCTTAATTTTCGTTGCATTTGATTTAAGTTTGTCAATATGAAATCCTGTATATTGGGCCAACAGAGTGAAGGCATTAACGTTAAATAATAGTCAAATAGACACACAAGAATACAATGGAATTAGGGTCTACTGAAGTGTATTAGTCTAATATCTATTTCACGGGTTTAATAAAACATGCTAACATAGTCACTAACTCACTAACATACTCACACAACATTTTGGTAGGTTAGTTCATAGTTAATGGAGTAACTATGGTTAGTTGAAATGAAACCTCTGCAGTCTCGATCAGAAAAGCGGACATTGGTACAGCGCGACGCTCAAAAGTGTGACCACCGATATTCTATTCACATACCTTCTTCTCGGCCATTATCTTGTTTTATCTTATTTATGATCTAAACGCTCAGTTGGAGGATGGCGAGACAAAAGTATGCAAATTCATTATTGCTGGTTTTTGAGGCTTCCCGCTGTATAAACTTCTGCCCATTAAGAATCTTATGTAAATTTTCAACTTCTTTCTTAACAGAAAAAATTCATGAACAGCAACATGACTCCTGAACAGGAACTTAACGCACGCCATGGGATGAAACTTTACTAGTGCCATTTAAGGTAAATTATTTATCCCGAAAAAATTAGTTAGTGCCCCGGTGCAATGTTTGTGACTAAAAATAAATTTGCTATGTTTGCTCAAATTCTTCTATTTCACTGACGGCGCTCAAAAAATTGAAAACGATTTTTATTGCAGGGACGGCGGAACCGGGGGGGCTGTAGCCCCCCCACTTTTTGTGAAATTTTAATACATTTTCACTAAACTCAGCCCCCCCCCCCCCCCACCTTGCCATACAATGTCACTATTGGGCCCCCCCAATCAAAAAACTGCTCCGCCGTCCCTGTATTGAAAAACAATTCGTCAAAGTTTCGATCCGAGGCTGTGACTACGGGCTCTCCATTTAGAAGTAATATAATTGAGCAGTAAAAGAATATTGCTAGGATCGTAATTCGGATATTTATTAGCATTAATACAGCTACTCAGTCGGCAGTATTCTGGCTTCAATCGCGTGGAAAATACGGCTTTCGGTCTCTAGTTAATGCATATACATAAATATATCGCTAAATACTACGCTGTAATAAAGCAATTTCGTAATTTCGTAATTTCGTAAACATGGATTTCAAGCCGAGAAGATAGCGATGATTTCGAAGCGATGATTTCTAAGAATTTTCAATGAACTTCATGAGCAATAGCTTGTTTTGGTTTACTCTTTATAATTCATCTACTCGAACAGTATTTCAAGAGTCAGAATTACGATAAGCGATAGAAACATCGTTATTCTCTTGAACTTGACAATATAGATATTCTTATAACCTATATTTATGTATTTATATTAACAAGTGCAACTAGTATCCACGAGTTCGATTCGCCAAAGGGCGGTTTGATTAGTTTTTTTTTACTATTTCACGGATATATGGTTTGCACTTTACCTGGTTAGTAATTGGCTACACGGTTAGTAAATGTTTCACGGAAATATTGCGTGCACTCTGATTTATATTAAATGGTTGAAATATGAGTATAAATGCATTATTAGATGTATTAGAGATGAAACATATTTCTTTTTTGGCGCACGTAGAAGATCACTGGGTGAACGTCTTCATACGTAATGTATTTGTTGTTCCAAAATTAGTCTTGCTTGTCATTTATATTATTCAAATATTGTGTATGACAATGAGAAATCTTCATCCGCAGACCATGTTCTCCAAGGACAGCAACGTAATTAAAAAAGAGAATTTTCCTACCAGTCAACGACCGTTTCAAAGAAAGAAGATAACAAAACTCATCAGTTTATAAACACAGGTAAACTCCTAAGCAACTCAGCAGTATGTAGGTAGAGGAGGATCCATGGCTATCCCCAGTCACCAAAAAAAAAAAAAATCACCAAAGATTGATGGCAGATTGTGAAAAAAAACAACACCATACATAAATAAAGCGTTAAAGAAATAAATCAAGTCATGAAATTTGAGTATGTTAAAGTTTTTGAATAGTGGCTCAGTGTGTTCTTGAAGGAAGAATAGGTGATGATCCTAATAATCTTCTTTTGCAAGGTTACACTACAATGCCATAAGTTAGAAAAGGATAAATCAAAGAATAGTAAAGCCGTATTAATGTCTTAATTTGGATATAATACCTATACTTTTCCTAATTTTAGCAGATATATGGTTTATTTGATGTTTAAATCTAAGGTTTGAGTCAAGAGAAATACCTAAATATTTAATGCACTTTTCTTGTTTGATTGGTTCCCTGTTTATGCATAAATTAATATTGCTAGAGAAAGATTTTTGATGAGGATGAAAAATAATGAAATTGGATTTGTCTATATTTATAGAAAGTCGATTTGCCCTCAAACAATTACTAATGAAAATGAGATGTTCATTGACTTTGCTTTCTAAAGCCACAAGGCTTTTATCAGAATATAATAAATTAGTGTCATCTGCAAAAAAGTGGTAATCAAATAATGAATTGGAACCATCATACACGTCACGAACATGGATTTTTATACTTCGATAGAGATTTGACGTCACGGGCATGCGCAACCAGATTCAATAGAAGCTCCCACACGTTGGATATTGCGTGCCAAGGCAAAGACAGGCACGTTAGTCAAAGATTTTTGTGGTTGACTATGGCCTTGATACGATGGCTACGATGGCCGAGGAGGGCCACTTCCGAGTTCCGACTTCTGAGTTTGACTACTTACAGTTATTACTCAAAATTGCTGTATAATTTGAAATATTTCTTCATAAGTCAACATTGTATCATGTTTAGGTGACACTATGCAACCTAAAATTTTAAAAAATAACTCGAAAACCTTAATAATTGTGATAGTATTTACCTTAATTCCGAGTGCAGAGTTCAAAGTTCAAAGTTCAAAGTTCCGTTATTTCACGATGATGCTTGTTGCACTCGTGTTGTTCTCATGTGTTTTACCAGCTTACACACCAGCTACGCAAGATGCTGGGTTAAATGTACAGGAACTAATTCGAGCTTACTTCCTTCAAGGTTATTCGAACTACGAAATATTGGGGTTTCTAGCTGCTGTTCACGGTGTTACGATGAGGCTTCGAACTGTAAAACGTTGGTTACAAAAAATGAATTTAAAAAGGGCTAATCGAAGAAACGAAGCCCGATTTGAAGACATTGTTGTTTTCAAATGAACTCGTAGAATTGTGTAAGAGTAGTGTTTCAGTTTGGGGTCTGTACAAGATCACTTCGACAAGTTTGACAGCTAAATACTAAAGTATCAGTCGAGCATTTTACTTTTAATTTACTTTTGCTCCCCTCCCCCCAACGCCTACTCGGAACACTTTTGTCCCGTCCCCCCACGCATACTCGAAACTCGGAACTCGGAACTCGGAAGTCGGAAGTCGGAAGTCGGAAGTCGAAAGTCGGAACTCGGGACTCGGGACTCGGAACTCGGAACTCGAAAGTCGGAAGTCGGAAGTCAGAGGTTATAAGTCGGAAGTGGCCCTCCTCGGCCATCGTACCTTGATGAGGCTCTAAGTCTTCATCTAAACTTGGATGCATACTTCACTTACTAAGTGGGGAAAAAAATCCTTAAAAGGGGCTAAATTCAAAAAATAACCACACAGAGCGAAAGAAGTGCTATTTCTCAATGATCGGGTAAAATTTCGAGGCTTTATTTCACGTTTAGATAATTTTATTGAAATTTTTGATGAATCCCCATACATTTTCTTATAACATGACACCACAGAAACCAAGCTTGGGCTACCTGTGATAGTATTCGAGTGGTCTTTACATAAAGACCACCTGTGTGTTTATATAAAATCACTTGAATACTAATAAAGAGAACTTTATCGGAAGGTCCATGCACGTGATGTGTATGGTAACTCCAACTGGACCATAAGCTCATGAATTATTAATGAGTGTTTTAATGTTTTCATATTGTATAATAGTATTTGTAAGCTAGACGTAATTCAGCCTATGGCTGCTATGTTTTTAGTCAATAAACTATCTATCTGATTTCACTCTAGTTCAAAGAATCACTAGAATCATCAGTGTTATCGTTGAATGATTCTAGCATATTGACATCTAGTAAACTAAACCGGCCTTATTCGAATATGATTTCTTTCTAGTTAAAAAAATCACTAGCTATCGTTGAATAATTCTACTATCTTAACAAGTTAACATAAGATGACAGTGAATATATAAACAAACAGGATTTTATTCTTTAATGAGTCGAAGTATAAAGTCTAAAATTACTTCTCTTTCTTGACGTATTCTCTTTGTTGACAGCGTTTATTCCAAAGTTTGATTGACAGCTGCCAAAAGGAGTTGCCATAGAATAACTCAGTCCTGGGGCTTTGCAATATTGGGGGATAACTCCGGGGGGTAACCAGCAAACATTAACCACATATTATCATCATCCTCTATGCCTGTGTGTCAAGTAGGGCTGACCCCAAGGATTTAACCACATATTATGTTGAAGACTAATCAGAAACGTTGTAAATACATCTTAAGATATTATTTTAGAAACAATTTTTAAAAAAATTGTGGAAATTTATGTCAATGAGGATTGTCCACGGTTAGGATTTCTGTTTTGCTCATCAAAAATTAATGAGTTTGATAATATGCTTAACAATGTTTTTTTTAAAAAATTCTTAATTCTTGCTATAGGATATATTATCATGGCAAGTAACAGCTTTCCTGTGGCTGTGATTGGCATGGCTATAAAGCTGCCCGGGGCCGAGTCATGTGACGAATATTGGAAGCTGATTATGGAGGGTCAAGATACAGTGGGGGAATTCCCCTCTGAACGAGAAGCCGACATAAGCCACGTCCTTCCGTCTTTTCAAAGTCACCTTTTAGATGAAGGTAAACCCTTTTTCACGGGTTCTTTTTTCAAGTCAGTTGACGGATTCGACGCCGACCTGTTTCAAATAAACCCTAAAGAGGCAATGTTCATCGAGCCACAACAACGATTCTTTTTAGAAACTGCGTGGAAGCTGATGGAAGATGCCGGTTATGCCTCAAGTATCAGGGGATCGAAGACTGGTGTGTATGTTGGTAATACTGTAAATAAATACAAACTTGTACTTACTGAGAACCATCCAAGTATTTCTCATGGAAACCATTCCCCTTTTGTCTCTGCGAGAGTTTCGTACACGCTAGATCTTTCCGGTCCTGCAATGATGGTTGCCACTGGTTGCTCCTCGTCTCTCCTTGCAGTTCACTTGGCTTGTCAAGGACTTTTATCTGGTGACTGCGACATGGCAATTGCTGGAGGCATTACTATCGATCTTCTCCCAGTCAGTACGAAGACGGATATCTGGAACCAACTCGGCATTACTGGGCCAAACGTCAAGTGTAGAGCGTTCGACGCATGCGCCAAAGGTATTGCTAAAGGAGAGGGATGTGGAGCTGTACTACTAAAACCATTAGAGAAAGCTTTATCTGATGGTGACCATGTATACGGAATTTTACAAGCAACAACAGCGAATCAAGATGGCCATTCGAATGGCATAACTGCCCCTCATCCGGTAGCACAAGCCAATTTGCTACATATAGCATGGGAGCTTGCCGACATATGTCCTGACAAACTTGGATACTTTGAGGCTCATGGAACAGGGACTGAATTGGGTGACCCAATAGAAATATCTGGAATTACTAAAGCCTTTAAGATGTCTGGAGTAAACTTTGGGAGCGAAACCAATAGCGGAAAGATTCCAAAGATCCCAATTGGGTCTGTTAAAGCAAACATTGGTCATTTAGCTGATGGTGCGGCTGGCGTAGTAGCATTGATAAAGACACTACTTTGTATGAATCATGATAAAATACCACCTGCAGCTAACTTTTTAAAACCCAACCCGCATATAAACTGGCAGAAAGCTCCTGTCTATGTTAATACCTCTCCGTTAGATTGGAAGCCAAATGCTGATAAGTCACCTCGCTTCGCAAGTGTTAGTGCCTTTGGACTTTTGGGCACTAATGTCCATGCGGTTGTTAAGGAACATGTCTTATGCGAATCTGCTACTATAGACTATGCAATGGCAAATAGCAAACATTGTACAATACTAGTGCTAGCTGCAGCGTCCAAAAAGTCACTCCTAGCTTTTGTACGACGTATGATAGAGTATTTTCAAAGTTCAGACAACCAAAGCTTGAAACACCTACAGAATGTTTGCTTTACAATTAACACCGGCAGAGAGCAAGACAAATTTGACGCAAGGGCTATTGCTTACGGAAAAAACTGGGATGAAATGACTCAGGCTTTACAACATCTTCTTGAAAGTCTTGATAAAATTTCCAGCAACGAGAGAAAAATCAGAGTGAGCGCAGGGTTTAACAGTGAGGAAAACTTCCTTTGTCCCACAAAAAAAGAAGACAGTTGTTCTACCGCAATAAGGGTGAAAGAAGACTATTTAAAGGGTAAGGCTATCCAGTGGAAAAAAGTATACTCTGGCCATTCGAGTATTAGTCTTCAGAAAGTACCCTTCTTGCCAACCTACGCATTCAATAAAGTAAGATACTGGCCAAAGAAAGGAAAACCAATTAACGAAGACCTCCTGCGTCTTGAGCAGCATCCAGCACAGTCCGATGAGGACGAAGAAACTAATGGTCACTATGATGCCGGCACAAGTCACCAGAATTCAAAGCATGCATCTAACCACTCTCTAGCGTTACCTGGAGTAAATGTAACCCTGAGAGACGAATGTCAAAAGCAGACTTCAAAGTCAAACCAATCAAAAGACGCTGATTTACTTTTAAGCGAAGCTCTGAACGAGGCCCTTGGCCGGGAATATGATTGGATGTTGTTGAAAGACGAAAACCTGTTCTCACTTGGTGTTGACTCCTTGATTTGTACGCATGTGAACATGAGGATCAAAGATGCACTAGGGCTAAATGCAGAAGCATTTACAATGACTGATTTTCATATGAACTCTTCCTATGGCAGGCTTCTGAAGGTCATTCAAGCAAAAATTAGACCGTCGTCTTCCGAGTCTAACTTCGACACGCGCTCTTCATTCCCAAAGTTGACCACGTCGATAAAGGGATTATATCCTTTGTCATTTGCTCAGAAAAGGCTTTGGGTGATGCAGGAAATAGTAACAAATCCTTGTGCTTACAATGCAACAAACTCTTTGTACATAACTGGACAGTTTCACCCTTCAGCTTTTGTACTGTCAGCGAACACTGTTTTATCTCGTCATGGAGCATTTTTTACGGTTTTTGCTAACACTCCAAATGGCCTTTTTCAGACGCATAACTGGAATCAGCTAGTGAAGGTTGTTGAACTAGACTATCGATCCTCGGGAGACATATCAGAAGACCGAGCAATGAAACAATATGAAGGGGATTACAAGACTCCCTTTGATCTAGAACAGGGACCTTTGGTGAGATGCAAGCTATACTATCTTTCTAAAGACAAGTACCTTTTCACGATGGTTGTTCATCACATAATTTTTGACGGATGGTCCCATTTTAACTTTTACAATGAATTGTGGCATACATACAGAAATGCGTGTGACGGCGTGGTAGAGCAAAAACCAATCCACAAGCCTCTTTATGTGGAGCTCGTTAGTGAAGAGCAAAAAGAGGTAACGTCCGGTTCTTCAAGGATTGTAACAGACCTCGCATACTGGAAGCAGAAACTTTGTGGACCGTTGCCACTAACAACACTCCCAGGCGACAAAAGAAGACCTCCAGTGTTTTCATACAATGGCGGAAGAATCACACGTTTTATTGGTAACGATGTTCTCAGTACTTTAGTGCAGCTTACAGGTGATGAATACACGATGTTCATGGCTCTTATAGCAACCGTATTTTCCTTGTTACATCAGTACACAGGAGAAAACGATTTGATTATTGGAACTCCAGTGGCAGGACGGTATGACACCAAAACTAAGGATGTCATAGGATGCTTCGTTAATACACTTGTTTTAAGACTGCAACTAAAGGGTGACATGAGTTTCAATGAAATTCTTGAATCAGTTTCTAAGGTCTGTTTAGACGCCTACGATCACCAGCATGCACCGTTCGATCTTCTGGTCAGCGAACTGAGTCTTCCAAGAGACACCAGCATCACACCCATATTTAGTGTCAATGTATGTTACCACAACACTGAAGTAAAGGCCGAACATGTGCCACCGCCAAGTGAACTTCATATTGAAAGAAAACTACTACACAATAACTCTTCAAAGTGGGACATGCAGTTCGATTTTCTACATGAACAAGAGGGAATGCGATTCACTCTCGAGTATTACAGTGATGTATACTCAACAGATTATGCAGTGTGTGTTGCTGATAACTTCGTTAGCCTAATCAGTCGTGTGGTAAGAGAGCCTTCTGCCCCAATTTCAAGAGTCAAGCCAGTATCTGAAGTTTCTAACGGACTAACTCCTGACATGTGCGTACTTCATGGAACGACCAGGAATATTGGAAACAAGGCACTCCCAAATCTACTAATTGAAAGCCTTTGCCATTTTGCAGAAGAAAGCTTTATCATTGACATAAATGGGAAAGGTATTGCATACCGTGAGGTATTGAAGAAAGCTGGAGAGATTGCTGTTTTCTTAAGACAAAAATGTGAAATCCAAAGTCAGTCAAGAATTGGCCTTCTGCTAAATAATTCATTTGAGTCGCTGGCATCAATTCTTGCTTGTATCTTGTCTGGTCTAGTGTATGTTCCATTAAACTGCGACGACCCAAAGCACAGACTGGGACATATTTGCAATGAATCGCAGTTAAAAGCCATCATATTCAGCAAATCGAACATATCTCTAGCCAATAACTTGCTTTGGGCCTGCCAGTCCGTGCGTGTGCTTTTCTGTGTGGATGAGAAAAACTTTGAGGAGCTTTTAGAAAGCCCGCAAGAGGCCCCGTTAATGAATAAGGAACTATGGGACCACACGGCATATAACGGTGAGGATGACATCGAAGCAGGAGGATGGAAAAGTTCTTATACAGGTGACAATTTGAGCGAAATGGAGATGGATGAATATGCTGAAAATATTCTAAAGAAACTCAAACAATACATCAAGCCCGATTCAAGAATTCTAGAAATTGGTTGCGCCTCGGGTATAACAACTAAAAAACTTTATCCTTTTGCTGGACACTATGTTGCTACAGACATCTCTCAGGCAATGACGGAGAGGCTATCAAATGCTCTTAAAGGATCCAAAACCGTGGAGGTCCATTGTGCCCCTGCACATCAAGTAGGTCACGTTTTTCAAGGACAGGTATTTGACGTCATCATCCTGAACAGTGTCGTACATTGTTTCCCAGGGCATAACTACCTACGCAAAGTCCTTGACTCTTGCGATAGCCTTCTCCAAGAGAATGGCATCATATTTGTTGGAGATATAATGGATCTTGAGAAGAAAGACAAGCTGGTTTGGAAACTTAAGTCTTTTAAAGCCTCTTATCCTTGGTACAGAACAAAGACGGAATGGCACAGTGAGCTGTTTCTTTCAAGAGAGTACCTACAACACTTGTGCGACACTTCACAAACACTACGAAGCGTTTGTTTCTCCTCAAAGATTTTTACTGTTTCAAACGAGTTGACAGAGTTTAGGTACGATGCAATCTTTTCGAAATCCAGCATATGCCCTGAGATCAGTTTGAAGAAATCAAAGGTGAGAGACGTTACAACTTGCGCTAACAGTGACCTTGCGGATGCCTTAAATGATAAACAAGATCCAGATATCCTTGCTACTTTAACTAAGTGGTCAAGAAAGATTGACTTTGCAGACGAAGCATATGTCCTTTACACTTCTGGAACAACGGGGACACCAAAAGGGGTCATCATTGGTCACGAGGCCTTGCTCAATTATGTTCAGTGGGCTTCATCAGCTTATAAGCTGGATAAAGGCTCGACATTGCCCTTATTCTCACCACTGACCTTTGACTTTACAGTAACAAGTATCTTTCCTCCTCTACTGAATGGAAGTACCATCCGTATTTTCAAGAGCTTCCAAGATTCATATCAAGACCTTGCCCTGTGCCCTGAATTAACAACAGTAAAGTTCTCACCACTACAGCTTGACACGGTCTTGTCAGTGACAGACAGACCTCTGAGTGCTTCAATATTCATTGTCGGTGGAGAAGAGTTAACATCAGAGCTGCTCCATAAACTCAAACAAAATAAGGAAAGCGAAAAGTTTGAAGTGTGGAACGAATACGGTCCAACTGAAGCAACTGTTGGATGCGTAGCAAAGTGTTTCTGTAGCGACGACCTCCCACTTGATAAATCTGAATATGTGACCATTGGCAAACCAATTGACAACGTAACAATTGCCTTGACCAGAAACAGGTTTAGTCATGTTCCAGTTGGTGGAAAAGGCAAACTTTGTATTGGTGGTAAATGTCTTTGCCTAGATTTTGCAGGAACGGGGTCCTCAAAGGAAACCAAGATAAGCAAATCCTTCGACGTGGCTTGCTGGGGCGATCCAGGTGAACTCATGTTCATTACAGATGACATTGCTAGTGTCATGCCAGGATCTAAGGAAATAGCATACTACGGGAGAGAAGAGTCCAGCACAACTAAAGTTAATGGAGTTAGAGTGGATTTGATGGAAATACAACATGCTATTGAGAGTCACCACCTTGTTCAAAGCGCGTGGGTAAACAGTTTTACGTATTCGAATTACATGTACCTGGGAGCAGCGGTGAAGCTTAAATCGACCAGCATTCTTCACTCATGCAACACCGAGACTTGGAAACATGTACTGATTTCTTCGCTTACCTCGAGCTTGCCATCAAGATGCATTCCAAAAGTTCTGGTTTCTATTTCCGACCCTCCGACAAATAGTAATGGAAAGAAAGATACAAACCTGTTACAAGGTTTGTTTGAAGCTGAATTACAGTCAGGGCTGGAGATCTCCGATGGCAATACCTCAGACATGGGTGGTATTTCAGCGACTGATGCAAGCAAACTTCAGGTATTGTGGCAGAGTATTTTGCCTGTTAAACGGCTGCCTAATTTTGACGAGGACTTCTTTTTCGATCTATCCGGAGACTCCCTTCAAGCTATTCACCTTGTCAGAAAAATGAGAAACGAAGGATACCAAGTATCAGTAGGAGATATTTTCCAGAACCCCACGATAAGAAAACTGCTTAAGGCGCTTCAAGGCAATACTGGTGACCATATGCAGAAGCAATCGAAAATAAAGGAAGAAGCTCAGAAGTTTAGGCCCACTCCTATAATTGAAGAATTTCTCAAAAGAGATCACAAGAATCCTGACCACTTTGCTCTTTCTTCACTTCTACGATTTGAAAGAAAGCTCAAGCCAAGTGTTTTAAAGGTGGCCTTGAGAAGTGTAATGGATAAGCACAGTTCTCTTCGATCAAGATTTGAAATAGTTGAAGGTGTTGCCTTACAGGAGGTGCTAAACCTGCAACCAAATCAGCCAACAGTTAAAGAAATCAAGCTCTCGTGTAAAGAAGACCATCTCATTGATGATCCAGCCTTTCTTAATTTATGCCAGAATCTTGAACAAAGTCACTCTCTTGCTGACGGCATTTTGCTGAATGCTGCTATCATAGACGTAACAGAGAAAGAAGATACAGAGTCCACCGAAAAGGCATGTACCTACTTGTTACTAGTAGTGCATCACATTGCCATAGACATCGTTTCCTGGCAGCAAGTTTTGGAAGACTTAGCAACAGCTTTAAAAATGCTGAGTGACAATGAAGATCAAGAGCATGTGATGTTACAAAAATGCATTTTGCCGTTCGCAAGCTTTTGTAATGCCTTGCACGAACAAGTTTCTGGAATCTTTGGAGAAGAAATCACTTACTGGAAAAACATCGAGGCCGAGTGCGCAGAATCAGGATTGCTTATGAAAGAACATCGGCAGAGTACATTCAAATCTGCCAAGTGGTTAAGCCATTCATTTGACGCTGTTACACTTCGAACAATGTCTACTAGGCTTAAGTGCTCGGATGAGCATATTCTTCTCACCATTTTAGGAAAGGCGCTATCATCTATTCATGGAAAAGATAAGACTGCCATAGTGTTGGAAAGTCATGGAAGACAATTGCCTAATGCTGATTCGACCTCTACGGTTGGATGGTGCACCTCCATGTTTCCGTTCGTGCTAGAAACCTCACGAATAGACAACATACAGAAACAAGTGAAGCAAGTCGAAAAGAAAGTAAAGCAAGTTCCACATCGTGGCCTTGGCTTTGGATTACTTCAGGCTGACGGAAAGCTGACGATTCCTTCGCCCAACATCATGTTCGTGTTCCAGGGTTCACTTGATGCAAGTACGAAACAGAAATTCGATGGTGGCAAACACAAGTTCGAACATGTTCCATGGATTGAAGTAATGCATACTGAATTGATGCAACGACGGTTTCATCGTCATCCTGAGGAGATTTTGCCATTTGATTTAGAAGTCATTGCATGGGTACATGGAGGCCAACTCAAAATTGGCTTTCTGTTCGACACAAAAACCATTTGTGAATCGCTGGTGGAAAATTTAGTGGACCACGCGGAAAATGACCTCAAAGTGCTTGCAAAGGAGTTGAATTGTTGCACGAAATTTATAACAGCAGAAATAATCCCATTCTTCAACATAAATCCAGATTGTATACAGACAGCAAAGGATTCTCTAATGGAACACGGAATAAATGCCGAGAAATTATTGGTGTGCCCTCCCGAACAAGCACTTCAGTCAATGATCGAGTCTCTAGATAAGAGTTCTGACATAACAGTTATGATAACCAGACACACTACAGAAAACCAAGCACAAGAGTTCAAGAAGGCCTATAAAGAGTTCCTTGAAGCAAGAGGTAGTAACAAAGTGATTATAATAAATGCAGAAAGTCTTCCAAATTCAGTCAAGTTACCTGTCGAAAAAGTTCAAACGGCTGGAAATATTGTGCAGCTTCCAACAACCCTTGGACAAGCATTTTACGACAAACGTACAGATTTAGAGTATAACATGCCATTAACCCAGGAAGGTTACTCACAGATTGGGCTAATCATTGCAAGATCAATTCGAGCAGGGATTAATGGAAACAAATACAAGGTTATAGCTGTCGACGCGGATTACACCTTGTGGGATGGAGAATGTGCTTGTGGGTGTGTGAATATGAACACAGGAAATATTTGTCTTCAAAAGTTTTTACTTAAGAAGAAAAGAGAAGGTTTGCTGCTGGTGATATTGAGCAAGAACAGCTATCAAGATGTTGTTAAAGTCTTCGAAACACAGAGAGACCAGATGATCTTGGGGTTAGACGACATCGTAGAAATAGTGGCAAATTGGAATTCTAAAGCCGACAACATACGAACTGTTGCAAACCAGCTGAATCTGGACCTTAAATCGTTTGTGTTCATTGATGACAATCCCCTGGAGTGCGAAGAAATGGTGACCTCTTGCCCAGAGATACTTACTCTCCAGCTCCCATCAAATCCAAAACTTGTAGGAATTGTCTTAGATAACCTTTGGAGTTTAGACAACATGGATATAACCAAAGAATCCTCAGAACGAAGTGAGATGTACAGAAATGAGTCGATAAGGCAAAAAGAAATGGATAAAGTAAAGAAAGTAGCTGCAGCTAAGCGCCAAGCTGAAGTAACGAACCTCTTAGCGAAGTGGAAGATGAAATTGACATTTCTCAAGACAAACGTTTTGTCCATAAAACAAAATAAAACTCTGCTCAAGAGAGCTGCCGAATTACTTCACAGAACCAACCAGTTTAAACTAAACGACGTATTTTCAAAGTTTTCTGAATTTCAAGAGGAAGATGCTTGCTGGCTCATTTCGCTGGATGACTGCCATGGTTCTTACGGAATTGTGAGTGTTTGCGTAATCGATAACAGTTCGTTAAACCTAAAGCAATGGGTTCTTAGTTGTAGAGCACTTGGACGAATGGTTGAAACCCGTATCCTGAAAGAGATACATGCTTCATTTAAGGAGGGTCTACAGCTGTCAGTTAATCGAACAGAACGCAACACTCCAACCATCAGCTTTTTGGAGACTCTTGGCTGCAGTATTGGCAAAACTGGTCTAATATGTAGTAATGTTGAAGATACTCATCTCTTGCAAACTGCAGAAACTTTGCACACAATTGAAGTCGGTGCCGACGTAACCTCATTCACAGAGCAAATCTACTCGAGCGCCCAAAAAGACATTCAGCATATTGATGAACATATTACGAGTGACAATCCTTTTGCTTTGCCAACACTAAAGGATGTCAACTCGGTAATACACATGGAATGGTCATTGACAATGAAAGAACAAAGTAGGCGCCACAATCTATTCCCTATCATTCCAAGTCCAAAAGACATTAAGCAAACAGAAGAAACCGGCAAACTTGACGATTGCCCATTTTCAAAAAGCAGAACACAAGTTCTTCAATCTACTTGGATGGAGGTGCTGAAGAGCGACCAAACTAACCCTCGAAGTACAGACAATTTTCTTGAGCTTGGCGGAGACTCATTTAGTGCTGTTTTCCTGGTATCAAAACTTCAAAGAGCGTTAAACATCGAGATCAGTGTCATCGACGTGCTAAAATATCCGAAGTATGGCGATTTTCACAACCTTATTCTACAAGCTCCAATAAGCAATAAAGCCGATGAATGCAAAAGCATGGACATGCGATGCACACCACTTTCTGCCGCTCAACAACGCATGTTAATAATGCAGGAATCTGCGCCTGATTCCACAGCTTACGTTGAAACCGTAGCACTCTACACAAGCGAGAAACTATGTCCATCCGAGATATTTGCGTCATTAGTAAAGCAGCACCCAATACTAAAAGCCAAGTTTGAATTTTCCGATGAAAGTCTGTTTTATGTAATGAGTACGCATGAAAACCTCGACACTGATACTGAACTTGAATCGGTGGAAAATCTTAAGACAGCCAGTGAATATCTGACGCAATCGATTCCACGCATCAAGGTGCTATCAAGTCCCCTCGTGAGATTTCGACATTTGGAAGCAGGAGGATTAACCATACTTGCCTTACATATTCATCATGCCATTGTTGACGAAACTACTTTGAGTAACATTTCAAACGATCTTGAAAAGTTGATTCATGGTCAAACCCTACATTTTCAATCTGGAAAAGAACTTTGTGACCCCATTGTTAACCTCCAGGATAACCTTTCTTCAATTCAGCAGAAATCAAATGAACAGTATTGGGCTGAAAACTTCAAAATTCTGCCTCCAGAAATCAGTTTAGCCATATTACCTCAAACGCAGGCCTTGTGGAAGGACACAGTCGTATACAGAGCTGAACAGAGTAGATTTCCAATCGCCGATAAAGTGGTGAACAACATCATCAAATATTGTCAAAGTATGGGGATAACACCATTTCAGTATTTCCTCGCGTGTGCTTTGATAATCCTACAACGATATCTTGGCGTGGATGAAGTAACACTCGCAATACCCGTAACGACACGAACAGATGTTAGTCAATATACTGATGGACTTTTTGTTAACACAGTTTTATTTAGATGTCCAATATATTGTAGTATGTCCTTTGAAAGCTACATGAAAACAGTTGCTGAACGATGGATGCAAACTCTTCGACACGCACAATACCCATTTGACGAGCTTGTGAAGATTCTGACGAAAGAACACAAGAAAGCTCCAAGTTCCTTCTGTAGCATAATGTTTAACTTTACCTCCAAAGTAAGACCAGCCAGTGCTTTAGAAGTGCAATCTAAACATGCCAAAATGCCTCTTTCCCTTGATGTCCTCTACAATGAAAAAGAAGGGACAAGCGAAGTTGTGGTGGAATGGGCATCTGAATTAATCGACGATGGGGTGGCCAAGAGACTTGCTGATGGATTAGTAAATGTTCTATGTGAAACTCTTAAAGCACCGGATACTTTGCTGTGTAAAATCAACGCATTGTCTCCTCTCGAACAGAAACTCGTGCAGTCATTCAGTCAATTCAGCGAAGAAAACATAACTGATAGTCACCCAATCCAGGTCTTGTTCGAAGAACATGCAGCACTTAATCCCGACGCCACAGCTATTTCCTGTAATGGTTCCACAGTATCCTACGCACAGTTAAATAGAATGGCTTCAAGCATAGCTTGCGCCCTTTCTGGAAAATTCACCCAAGCTGCACTGAAGAGCAGACCTATCGTAATTGCCATGAAGAAAGACGAATACACCATTGCTTCAATCCTAGGAATTTGGAAGGCTGGTGGGCACTTCCTACCCGTTGCCTCAAATTTGCAAAGTGTTCTGAAACAAATTCTAGAAAGATGCAAACCACTTGCAGTTATCTTCAACATTTTGTTGGAAGTAAACAAAGAAACGTGCCCCATGTTTAACATCAAAGATCTGGTAAATTACCCTTCAGAAAATTTCTTAACATCACAAGAAGTGACTAATAGCGATGACCATGCTTACATAATAAGAACATCTGGATCAACTGGAGAACCCAAACAATGCAAGATTTCACACAAAAGCCTGAAAATAATTGCACAAGCGTGGACCAAGAAGTACCAGATGACCAAGTTTTGTGTGAGAGTCCTGCAGTGGGCACCTATTTCTTTTGATGTGTTTATTGGTGATGTTGTTAGGGGCCTTATGAGTACCTCTGGCCAGCTGATAATTTGTCCAGACCAATTCCGCTTAGATGTTTTTTATATCTTGAATCTCATAAAGAAACATCAAATCACCATGGCAGAAGTTACACCCCAGTTTGGTCTGCAACTTGTTGAAAATAGCGCTAGAGATGACTTGGAATCGCTCACCCTTTTAGTACTTGGATCTGATGTACTTCAAAATCATGTATTCCAAAAAATTAAATCTGTCATGAAGAAAGAACAAAGAGTAATCAACAGCTATGGAATGACGGAGGCAACTATCGATTCTTCGTTCTACGAAGGGCCCGTGGTCTCGAAGACCAGAAGCGGAACAATGCCCATAGGAAAACCACTACCAGGTGTAACATTCCACATTCTCGATACAAAAACACGCCTTCCATGTCCAATAGGTACGATTGGAGAACTGTACATCAGCGGAAATGTCTTAGCTTCAGGTGATGTTGAGGTCACCCAGCTTAACGAAACATGTCTCGCGCTTAAGACTGGTGATTCTGCTTGCTGGTTGCCAACCGGTGACGTTGACCTAATCGGCAGACTGGACAGCGTTGTCAAACTACGTGGTTTCAGAATAAGCACTCATGAAATAGAGAACAAGGTAGCCGCTCTCGTCAAAGGAGTACGGGAAGTATATGTTGTGCCAATGCTTAACGAAGTAGACCAGTCTCATGCCGCAAGTGAATTTTTGTGTGCATTTTTAGTACTCGAGAACGACGACAACGAGGAAGGGATAGACTCAAATGCCATACGTCACAAGCTACATGCTCACCTTCCATATTACATGGTACCTGACATTTTCCATGTTATTGACAGGACACCACTTACGGCGAATGGTAAGATCGATTTTCAAGCTCTTCCAAGCATATCTCAGCTACTTGAGCTAAATTCTGTGATACCAACTACACAAAGTTCCTTCAATCTTTCTGCTACAGCTGCCTTGCTAAAAGAATTACTTGGTGAGGCTCTTGGATTACCAGACTCCAGTATAATCAATCCTGAACTTACGTTTATGGAACTTGGTGTGCATTCTCTTGTCCTGGTGCGGCTTTCATCTTTGATTAAACAAAAGTCGTCTTTTGATGTCGAGATTGCTGATCTATTCTCCTACCCTACGATAACTGACTTAGCTGAATACATTGATCATGGCAAAGAGGTTAATCATCAAGTAACTTGCAGTAAAGAAGAAGAAAAAACCCAAATTCAAAATGATGAAGAAATTGCTATAACTGGTATCGGCCTGAGGCTTCCACCAAATATAACATCTCTAGCTGAATTTTGGAGAATATTAGACAAGGGCGAAGATCTAATTCAAGAATTTCCGGAACAACGATCGAAAGACGTGACAGATGCACTAGACGAATCGAGTGTGCGAAAGATTAGAAGAAATGGAACATTTAAAGGAGCTTTCTTGGAACGAATAGAAATGTTTGATAGCCATTTTTTTAAGATAGCACCCGGTGAGGCAAAGTATATGTCACCTGAGCAACGACTTTTTCTTCAAGTAGCAACGGAAGCCTTAGCTGAAGCTAATGGTCTCTCTAAATCAAAAGGTGCCAGGATTGGCGTCTTCGTCGGCAGTTCCGAAGTAGGGTATACACATCTTAGCCACCCAGATGATGCAGTTTGTATTTCTGGTTTATTACCAGGTATGATTGCCACCAGAGTCGCGTACCAATGGGATCTGAAAGGTCCCACAATGCTCATCGACACCGCATGCTCTTCGTCACTTGTGGCTTTAAAAACTGCGTGTGAGTCCATTAGAAATGGCGAATGTGAAGGTGCATTGGTTGGAGGAGTTAGCCTTGTCCTGTATCCCTCTAGATGTGGAGTGTTTGGACAAACTAGCATTTTGTCTGAAGATTTTCATTGCCGTGCATTTGACTGCGATGCAAGTGGTACTGCTGTTGGTGAAGGAGTAATGTGTTTGTATGTTGAGCCAATCAGTAAAGCTATCAAAGAAGGAAAGCCCATTTACGGGCTGATAAAAGGTGCTGCGTCTAACAGTGTCGGCCATGGAAATGGTATAACAGCACCGACAGCAGTCTCTCAACAAATGGTGATTCAAGATGCCTTGACAGCCGCTAAAGTACTGCCATCAGATATTTCATTCCTCGAAGCACATGGCACTGGAACCAACCTAGGTGACAGAATAGAGCTATCGGCTCTTTCAGCAGTTTTTAGTGGGGAAAACACTATAGCAAAACTGCCTATTGGATCTGTTAAATCCATATTTGGCCACTTAGACTCAGCTGCTGGTATGATTGGCGTCTTTAAGATTCTGGCATCATTTATGGCAAAGAAAATTGGCCCAAACGCAAATTTCAACACACCAAATTGCGAGCTTGAAAACTCTACGATGTATGTCCCTTCAAAAAGTGTTGCATGGGAAATCAAAGACTCGAATGGAAGAATAGCTGGCATTAGTTCCTTTGGTCTTACAGGCACGAACTGTCATGTTATCATACAAGAATGTAATGGAACAACTGAACGTCACAACAGTGCTTCCAGCGAAGCATCAATGCCTTTGCTGTTTAGTGGCAGAAGCATACAACACATCTTAAAGCAGATTTCAAAGTACATGATTTATTTGAAAGATTCAGTAATCTCAACATCAGAGATTTCACTCCTCTCTTTGTGTGTAACAATCGCTAGAAGGTTGAAAGATGTATCCGACGCTAAGATGGGCCATATCGATTATCGCATGGCAATTACCGAGACAAAACCCGAGAAAGTACTTAGCATCATGGAAGTCGCGAATTCTTTACGAAACATAAATGATGTGGTGATGTTTGCTAACTTGCGCAGCGATGTTCACCTCTACGGCCCAGAAAATACTCAAATGCATTGTCAAGACTCTTATCTTAGAGATTTTTTGGTGCATGGAACTATTGAGCTTGATGGTCTTTTCTCTTGCGACACAAGCCAGATAAAGTCTGCAAAAGGAGTATCCTTGGTAATGTACGATGAAGAAAGACACTGGCTGGATGCATGTGTAAAGAATACACTACTCACACAACCCTCCGGTTTGGTTGATTTACTTCAAAAGAAGATAGAAGAAACCAGAGAATTGACTCGAACGCTACCATTATCTCCAACGGAGGAACTCAACCGCATGCAAGGAAAGTTTTGCGCCGCCCTAATAATCAAGTTTTTAAAAGTCACAAATATTGCAGGATACTTAAGTGATGATAAAGAAATTTCAAGCAGAGATGCATTTCTGCTCACTGGGATGCACAAGAAATATGAAAAACTCTTCTTTGTGATGATAAGGGAGCTTTGTAGAAACCACCTGGTTAGAGCAACTGGATGTGACCAATCGATCGGGTATTTAGATTCTTTCAAGTTTGAGTGCGAACACGTCTTACAAACTGATCCAGAAGTCATTGCTAATGCTGCTATCGAAAAGTTTCCACCATGGGCTGACTGCTTCAGATTTCCTCTTTACTGTTCACAACACTTTGAGGACGTCCTTGTTGGCAAGATGAGCCCGCTATCCGTGATCTACCCACAAGGAAATCTTAACTTCATGTATCAGTTTGACAAGCTTGGAGACTTACTTGGCGATGTTTACTACAACATGTATATGCAAATAATTGCAGAGTATGCAAAGCAGTTGTCAAGTCAAAGAAACACTGTTAGAGTTTTAGAGGTTGGCGCCGGTGTGGGCTATGTGACAAGACAGCTTCTGCCGAAAATGAAAGATATTCCCAATATCGAATATTGGTTTACAGATCTCGGAAAGGCGTTTGTAGAACGTGCCAAAAGTCTTTTTCCAGAGTATCTTCACATGATGAAATTAGCCACGTTTGACATAACTAAGAGTGCCCCAAAGCAGGGTATACTAGGATCATTTGATATCGTCATTTCCTACAACGTAATTCACACGACAGAAAGCATCATCAAATCAGTTGCAAATCTAAAATCCTGTCTTGGTGAGGAAGGCACACTCTTTATCATTGAAAGCGCAAGAAACGATACATGGGCAACCCTTGCATGGGGACTACTCGATGGATGGTGGTATTTCAAGGACTATGATCTTAGATCAGCTGAGCCAATGTTGGAGGCGGATAAATGGGAAGCAGTTTTAAAAGACATTGGCTTCGGTTCTATATGTACTTGCCCTGTCAATGAGGATGAACGCAGGCACGTCGAAAAATGTTTGTTTGCATGCAGTAACAAACAATTTGAACCGTCAGAGTTGGTACGTCCTGGATGGTGGGAGACCGATGCCCATAGATTCAACCCTTATCAGGAATACAACGATCCAGAAGACATGGGGTCTATCAACAATGACATTGAATCAAACAAAGTGGACGAACAAAATAAAGAAACAGCTGTATACCAAGAGCTAAAAATGATTTGGTCTAAATTACTTGGAATTGACAACATTCATTTTGATGACGACTTCAACTCCCTTGGCGGAGAATCCTTATTGGCAATTCAGATGATGAGACTTGTTTGCCAACGCATAGGCTTTCAGTTAGAAATTGCAGATACATTTGGCTATCCAACACTTGGAAGTCTTGCTGCTTTCATTGCTGATAACCTACCAGAAAACCCGGTAGCAGAGTTGTCTGGACCCGATCAACGATGTGTGTCTTCGTCCACAGGAGCAGCAGGAGTGTTGGCTTCGAAACCTAATACTTTAGTGGAAACCAAATCAATTGGAGTATTAGATGTGGCATCTGAGAAACGTTTGCACCATGCCAGGGAAGCGAAGGAACGAAGAACGATGATCATGTTCCCTGGTCAAGGAGCACAGAAGAGGGACATGTGTATATCGATGAAGAATTCTCCAGAAGCAAGAGCAGTGTTTTCTCGAGCTGAGCAAATTTTAGGTTATAATGTGCTGGAATTGTTTTTGGACGATGACACAAAATTCGAAGAAAAACTGAAATCCACGGAGTTCGTTCAAGTGTCACTCTTTTTGAGCTGTCTCGCTAAAGTTGAACAATTGAAAGTTGAAAGACCAGATCTTATAGACGATATCACTTGCATTGCAGGGTTAAGTGTCGGAGAATTTGCAGCTCTAGTTTATTCTGGCGTCATGAGCTTCGAAGACGCTTTGCGGATTGTACAAGAACGAGGTAGAGCAATGGAAACAGAAGTCAGAAGTACAGCAAGCGGAATGGTCAGTGTATTGGGTCCTACGAGTGAGGAGCTTGAGGTATACCTCAAAGACAATTTTCCAGACATGAAAATATCTACTTACCTTGCTGATAACCAGCACACCGTGGCAGGCAGGGAAGAAGATTGTCTTTCTCTTGTAAAAGTGTTGTCCTTAAAAGAAAACCAGTCGAATATCATTGACGTCAGGAAGCTGCGAGTTGCTGGAGGATTTCATTCTGATTATATGAGAAACGCGGAAAAGAGGATTACTCCTCTGATACAGAAAGTCAGTTTCTCCAAGCCGTCCATACCAGTCATCATGAACGTGAATGCAGAGGTAGTTGATGACCCACAAAAAATCCAAACATTGGTTTGCCAACAGCTGGTTTCACCCGTTCAGTGGAGGAATACCGTTATCACAGCCTACAAGTTAGGAGTACGCAATTTCGTCGAGATTGCACCGGCTCGTGTCCTCTCGTCGATTGTGAAGAATAGAATTGAACAATGTAAAGACTGCACAACTGAACTGATAAAAGTATAATCATGTTGCTGATCATGAACAAATCGCATAATACATTATTTACTGAAATAGGTTTAGATTAACATGTTTTAAAATTCAACCTTATATATCGTATATTGCATTATTAAACTAGGTTTAGATTATCAGGTTTTAATTAGGTCCAACGTAATATGTCGTATATTAAATTATTACTAGACAAGGTTTAGATTAACAGGTTTTAAGCTTCTGCGTTATATATCGTATATTACATTATTATATACTGGGATTAGGTTTAGATTAACAGGTTTTAAGCTCTAGGTTTAGATTAACAGGTTTTAAGCTCTAGGTTTAGATTAACAGGTTTTAAGCCTTTGCGTTATATATCGTATATTACATTATTATATACTGGGATTAGGTTTAGATTAACAGGTTTTAAGCTCTAGG